TCATTCTTGGAGCCACATCTACAAAGCTATAAATGTTTTAAACTAACATCATTTGTTTACAAAAATAAATATTTTAAGTTTATATTTTTTAACTTGTCAAAGTTTTGTAAATTTATAATAGATTTTATTAGTATATTCTTATTTTTTATATATAAGGGATTTATTTGTTATGTATGTAATGTATTTTTATCAGTGCCGGATCAAGGAGGGGGGAGGCTATGGGGGACTATAGCCCGGGCCCCGCAAATTTAGGGGCCCCCAAAAATTTTAGAGGCCTTTTTTTTTTTTTAAAGTCATTTTTAGGCTCTGGCCCATAAAAAGACCTCTGAAAATAAAAATAGTCCCGAGCCCCAAGAAGTCTTAATCCGCCACTGATTTTTATGTATGTAATGTATTTTTATGTATGTAATGTATTTTTATGTATGTAATGTATTTTTATGTATGTAATTTTATGTATGTATATTTTATTCAAATGTAATCTTTTAAAGCAATTTGTGCGATTGATTTTGTAAACAAAAATACTTTCAATAACAACTGCGTTTTCAATGAAATTATTAATAATCATCAAAGTTAATACAAAAAAAGGCGGACGTTTATTTCAGGCACCTCCCTTTAGTAAGTCTTACACGAAACGAGTATTGTTGAAAACCATACCCTAACCAAACCCTAACCCTGAAAGTTATGGTTAGGGTCCGGGTTTGGTATAGGGTTTGGTTTGGGTATGGCTTTCAATATAAAAAATTTGATTTTGGGGTTCAGGTTAGAGTATAATTTTTAATAAGTGTTATGCGTAAAACATGACTCATTTTTTACGGACTTACTAAAGGGGGGTGCCTGAAATACACCTCCGCCTAAAAAAACTTTAACCGCTAATTTATTTTCCTTAGTGTACCCAATAACTGGTTCTTTCCCCCAAAAAAGAAATGTTTTTAATTCCTTAGAAATTGGTTTACTAACTTATTTATACTAAATTATTTTTGCTTCAGCCATTCTTACAAACTCGTTATATTTAAACTTAAAGTTACTTTTTCTGTTTTAGATACTAATTAAAATTATAAAGCCCACTCCCTAAACATTTCAGCGGTATTGTGAAGCAATTCCGCTTCCTCCTCACAAAGTAATTTAACGTTTTTAATAAATTTCTATCTAGCTAATTGAATTTCTACAGTAACTCAATGATTTAATTATTTCATATGTTTATCTTACTATAAAGAATTGTTTCAAATTTGTTAAATTTTTCAAGCTACGCAAAGCATAAAACAGTTATTGAAAAAACTTTTTTATTTATTAATAAATTATCTAGCATAAGTTTATTGTTTTTTATTTATAAATAAATCATCTACAGTTAGTTTTATTGGTTGAATCTTGGGTTTTATGGGTTTTTTGGGTTTTTTTAAAAATTGATCAAAATACCAAATTTTTATAATTGTATGAGTACAATAATTTTTTTTTTAATTTCATAAATTCACCTCCCTATTGCTCCAATGACCATTTCAGTCAAGGGTGCAACTCATTTTTTAAAAATATTTTGTCTCAATCCTTAACATTACCATTTTTACTAATAAACAACATTACCAATGAAAATTTTTAAACAAAGGCGCTGTGTGGAGAAATAGATTTAGACAGTAATTTCAGCAGAGGTAATTTGAACATCAACCTTCTGGTTGCCAGCCAAATGTTTTACTACTTTTCTACTAGCACATTTTACCTATAGTGCAAGAAGGGACTCCATCAACTATAAATGATGTTAATTAATTGCTCTAAATTAAAAACATGTTCAGAATATTTTTGACTAAAAAAAAATCAGTGTAAAAATTATGACAATTGAGTTATTCAAAGTTGGTAAGACAATATAAATGTTGCAAACTAGTTTTTTTTACTAACATGATCAACATATCATTTCAAAAACTACTTTGCACAAGTTTACAACATGTAATCAACAAGTTTGCAACATGATGTTGCAACCTTATAAGTTATTATCAATCAGGATGACTATGAACACTTTTTAAACATTTTTGTATCATAGAAGAAAACTGCTAGCCTAATCACTACATTTTTTTTTATCAGAACATTATACTGTCCAGCTTCCTGGAAAAGTTATGCTGATCAACTGGACTGGCAAAAAATGGATTTTTGCCTAAACTTTGTTTCTAAATATATATAAAGTAAATTTGTTAAGAACCATTACAGTGTCTTTGCCACCATTTTTTTTTTTCCTTGAAGATGTTTTACCGGCTCAGTTTTGCAATGCAAATTGCAAACTGAATCAAAGTAACACATTATATAGCTCTATTGTGTGTGTCTTTCTTCACCTTTTAGCAACTTGATACTGATGTTAATTTTCAACCCGCTGTTCATAGTCACCCCTGTTGGTGGTACATGTTGTAAACTTGTAGCTGATGCAAAATATTCAAAACCTGTCAAAAGACAGATGAGCACGAGTGTCATTTTTACCAACAAATCTTGTCCTTGTGAAATGCATACAAGTTTTCAACATGTTCTCTCATTGAATGAGCAAACATGTTGCAAGCTTGCTTGCACATAACTTTTTTTAAGTTTTAAAGTTGTATGCACTTAATAAGGACAAATCTAGTAAACTGTAGCATTTTTTTTTTGCCTGACAACTTTCCATTTTTAAACTGTAAATAAAGTTTAATAATTTTTATATATAGTATTTTGCTTGTGGCTTTGTATTTTTTTTTTTTTTTTTTGCAGTTTACAACATAAGCTTTAGAAAATAAAATATCAAATACCAATATAAAGTAATATAGACATTCGAGATGAGAATAAAGATACTAAATAACTATTGAATAATGTCTTGAAATTTAGTTAATAGAATGATTTTTATTTCCTTTTTAAGTATTTAACTAATTTAATGTTTTAATACATATTTCAATAACATTTATAATAACTTGCTAAATGTTTTAAAAAAATAATAAATAACCAACTTGCTACAAAAACAGATTGATTGATTTTGGATATATTCTAAAGACCATTATGCATATAAATACAGTGTTTACAAGAGTAATTACAGTATAAAGGTTGCACTTGCTGATAATAAAGCATTTATAAGTGTTAAAATCAGAGTTATCAGTTGTAAAATAGGTCATTTTTAAAAAAACCCAAATATATTTTGGGTTTTTTTGGGTTTTATTGGTTTTTTTTGGGTTGGGTTTTTTTGCCAACCCTGTTTTTCATGTGCCACAGCGTAAACACGACTAAAAAAAATACCGAATGGTTCTCTTGACTATTTTGCGCCCCCTAACATTGTGAGTCCCGAGGCTATAGCCCTTCTACAACCTCTTCCCCTCCCCCTTCTCCTCAAATTAGCACTGGAAATAAGACATAAGTATATAAATAAGATCATATATACTCTTTGATAAATCGAAAAATATTTGTTTTCTTATTAAACAATCATTAATAGTAAGTTGTTAATTTATATAATAAATGCCGCTTTATTTTATAAAAAAAATTATAAAAGAGCAACATTTCAAAAATATTTGCTCTAATCGTATTTATTTTGCCTAAAGTTTTTTCGCGTTAAAAGCTATTTTTCTTTTTTTAACTCTCATCAGTCCAGTTAATCTTATTTTTTGTTTGTTTTTGAAATGTTCTCAAAACGACTAAAAAATAGTCGTTTTGAGAACATTTCTCTCATCAGTCCAGTTAATCTTATTTTTTGTTTGTTTTTGAAATGTTCTCAAAACGACTAAAAAATCCGGCCGGTTTTTCGCAACTAAATATTATTTCGTGGTCAATTATTGAGTGCAATCGCACCTGCTTCCGGACCAAGCCTGTTAATGTAGTTTATATAGTGTTTATTTAAAAAAACATTAAGTTATAATTAATTAAGTTACATTTATGTGTTATGCCACAAAAGTCTAGATAACAAAGCCTGTTTGGTTATATCTATTTGTTTGGCTGTATATCTTGCTGTTTTGGTTATATAGCTTATTCAAAGATTTTTTTTCGACATTTAAAATTGCTATTCTTTTAGCTTGTTTTTTGTTCCCTCTATTCATTTCTATTCATTTGATGTATTTCTATTCATTTCTATTTATTTCATGCATTTCATGTATTTCTATTCATTTCTATTCATTTCATGCATTTCATGCATTTCTATTCATTTCTATTCATTTCTATTCATTTCTATTCATTTCTATTCATTTCTATTCATTTCTATTCATTTCATGCATTTCATGCATTTCATGCATTTCTATTCATTTCTATTCATTTCTATTCATTTCTATTCATTTCTATTCATTTCTATTCATTTCTATTCATTTCTATTCATTTCTATTCATTTCTATTCATTTCTATTCATTTCATACATTTCTCATATGTTTGTAACTTAATAAGTTCTTAAACTCAAAATGTTCAAACCAAGAAATTATCTTTCTTAGAAATACTGGAAGTATTGAACATCTTTCAATTTATACCGGATGCATTGAACATACCGGATGTATTGAACATACCGGATGTATTGAACATACCGGATGTATTGAACATACCGGATGTATTGAACATCATTTTCAAAAACTATTTTTTTAAAAAAACTCTGAAGATTTAGATATTTTAATCACCAGTCATGAAAAAAAGTTTCATTTCATTTTTGTTTTGTACTTTATTATTTATTTACACAATTTTAAATCAATAAAAAAATTAAAAAAAAATTCTTTAACTTGTGGTAGATTTTAAAGTATATCAGTTTAAAGGATTTTGACATTAGTAACAGGTGTTTAAGTTATAAAAAATGTATTTAACTCTGAAAGCCTGTTTAATATTCTTCTGATTGATATAGATAGCTGGTAGTTTACAGCCATGGTTTCAGAAATATAAATCACAAGAATCATGTTTTAAACATGAAAAATTCAACAGTAGAATTCTAAGCGTTATATTATAAAATTTGTCACCCATTTAAGAGATGATTTTTTTAATTTTCTCAAATTAAAAAATATATTTTTTAATATTACGCTATATTTGTTTCTTTTTGTTATTAGTTTGAGGTACTTATATGCGTTCAGGAAGAAAAAAATGAGCTAATACCAAAAATTGAAGAAATGATGCATGAGCATCCAAATGTTGACTCTCGCATTTTTGTTGGTAAGTCTGAAAGTAATCTTCAAAACCTTTTTTTTGTTGCTTTTTATTAGATACAACTTAAAAGTCTATTTTTGTTAATATATACATACATATATTTAGGTGCTCAGTCTATTGGTGTAAATCCTAAAATAAATAACATGATTCAGTGTTATGACTCAATAAAATATGAATATTTTTGGATCTGTGATAGCAACATTTTGCGTATGTAATTTTGTAATTATGCAAGTATATAAGATATTTTTCTTAATTATAAAATATATATTAATTAATCATTGCCATCATTATTTATAATATATTTACTGCATCATCATCATCATCATCATCATCATCATCATCATCATCATCATCATCATCATCATCATCATCATCATCATCATCATCATTATCATCATCATCATCATCATCATCATCATCATCATCATCATCATCATCATCATCATCATTATCAGCATCATCATTATCAGCATCATTATTATCAGCATCATCAGCATCATCATCATTGTTGTCATCATCAGCATCATCATCATCAGCATCATTATCATCATCAGCATTATCATCATCATTAACATTATTATCATTATCATCATCATCATATTATCACAAAATCACAATATTTCTAATATATTTATTGCATCATATATATATTATAATTATTTTTTTCACTTTGAATTGAATTTAAGTATGGGTAAGTATCAAGTTTTAATTTTACTCATTCTGTATATATTTTTATATATATTTTTATTCAACTGCACAGTGGGTCAGATTTTTGTGCTATCTAACAACTGTGTAGTAGAATGAAAAATTAAAGTTTTATTTTTTATTAAATATTATTAAATTAGATTTTAATAATATACTTGAAACTTCTAAATTTATTTCTGAAAAAAGTTTTTTGTATTTTTTTAATAATAAAAAGTTCAATAAAAAAATTAAAAAAAGCATTTTTTTTCTACATTTTATCAAGTTAATTCAAACACAATTCACATAATGCATATTTAAAAATACCACCATATTGTTTTTGATGGCACAATTTAATTAAAAAAAATATACTTTCATATCTCATAAATTTAATTTATACACAATTTACAGCCTCATGGTAGCCTACAATGTCTGTTATATTAATATATTTAAATGATCTTCTGGCATTTATAATTCTAAAACCTCAACAGAAAAGTCTTTTTAGATATGCTAGTTTGCCTCAATGATGCTTTTCAAACTGTTATCATTTGCCATACATCTTGAAGCTTTTCAAGCTTGATGTTTATGAAACCTTTGTTCCACTGTGTAACTAAAAATAAATTTTTTAATAAGAAATCTTTTAAAATGTTTTTTTTTTTTTGATGGCTCTTTGACTCTAACTTTAATAGTTTTAGATCTTTATGTGGTTTGGTAATGAATAATTAATTTTTTAAATTTTTAAATTGTGTTTTTGTATTTTTTTTATAATATACTATATAATAACTTTATTTTAATATTTCTTTTTAAAGTTCACAAGGAATCATTATTAGAAATAGGCTATCATTTAAAGCCAGATGTTGGATTGGTACATCAGGTATGATGTATTTTTAGGTTTAAAACAAACGCCTTAAATTTGTCTTTTTTTTTGGTTCCTATTTTTCTTTTATATTCATTTATATTGGGATTTATTTTAGCTTCCATATGTATGCCATAATGATCAAAGTTTTGGAAGTTGTTTTGAAAAGGTTCATTTTATATTTATTTTTTTGCTATTGACTTGCAAAATAGTTTGGTATCTTTAATTTATTAAAGACGAAATCTAGGTTTACTTTTATGTATACAATTCTTTACTATATACTTTCATATATACTATTTTAGTCTTTTGTAAGCTATTGATTTTAAATCTTTTAATGACATTAAAAATGCAAAGGATAAAAAAATTGCCAACATAATTTGTTTCTACATAATTACTTTTGTTTCAATAATTCACTTTTACACATGTTCACTTTAATTTTAAATATGACAAATAAGGAGGTTCTTTCAGTGCAAAAATAATTATCAAAAAGTAAATATTTACTCACAAAAAGATTATTATTGAAAATGATAATAAAAGATTAAAGCTCAAAGAAGGTGTGCGGCATGTTACAAACACAAAATTCAAAAAGATTCAAGATATGAATGTATAGAATGTGATGTAGGACTTTGTGCAGTTCCATGCTTTTCCAATTATCATACAAAAAGTGAATAATAGTAAACACATTTTTAAAATTTTGTGTTTATGTAGAATGATTTATTTATTCTTAAACTTGAATAATAACATTTTGTAGTGTTTAATAATGTTATAACATTTTGTAACAGTGTTTAATAATGTTATAACATTTTGTAACAGTGTTTAATAATGTTATAACATTTTGTAACAGTGTTTAATAATGTTAAAAATAGTAAAAAACTTTTATTCTATTAGTAAAAAAATGCAATGATTTTAAAAACACAAGACATTTAGAGACCACTTGAAAAAACAATAACATAGGATTGTTAAAGGGTTTGACCACTTAAAAAATGGGATTGTTAAAGGGTTTGACCACTTAAAAAATGGGGTTGTTAAAGGGTTTGGCCACTTAAAAACATGGGATTGTTAAAGGGTTTGACCACTTCAAAACATGGGATTGTTAAAGGGTTAAGAAAGTTGCAAAATCAGAACATGTATACATATTTATAACTCCTTTAACAAAAATAAACCACTTTAGTCTGACTTCACAAATCTTATAAAATCTTAACATCGACCTTTAAAACTCTTTTTGATGTTTTAAATTAAGTTGATGGGTTAATCATGGATTGATGGTAAAAACAACATTTTCAAAAAAAAATCTTATTGGCTATCAAGAGTTTTTTTTTTTAAATGTTTTTTACCATCAACTTAAATTAAAACATACCATTTCCTTGATACATACTAGAGTGTTTATCTAATTGGTAGATAAAGTTATAAAATTGATTTTTTACTTTTATACTAATAGTTTTTCCTTCTTTTTTCGACAGTCCTGGCAGTGTGCTATGCATTTGTTTTAAATACCTTGCACTTTTGTTTTAACAGTTTTTCTTTTTTGGAAAAGTAAATAGTTGTGTGTATCATCAATGATTAAACCCTCAGAAACTAAAGTCTGTAATTTAGAAATTTCTGATTCCATTGCGATTCTGGTCATGGCCTACTTAAATACATGGCCTTCTATTCTGCCTAAATTGAAAAAAAATAGAAGGCCAGTTGAAAAAACGTATATTCCATTATATGGACAAACTTTCTCAAAATATTTTAATTATTGCGCTATAAATGTTAAGTAAATCTGGAACAGGATTAAAGTTTTCATGTTAGATTAATCTCTTCACCAAACTTTGTATTGTTATTTTTGGCTACTTTTTAGTTATTATTAACAATAATGGTTAATAAATGCTGTGTTGTTGGTTGTACCTCTAATTATAATAATGGTGAAGTAATCCCAGTTTTTGGTTTTCCGTTATGGGTTCATTTTGTAAATAGAAACTTCTGGACTGTCACTAAATCATCTGTGATCTGTTTAAAACATTTTGATGAAAGTTTAGTACACAAAGGTACAGAAAAAAGAATTTGTTTGTTGTATAATTTGAAGCCTGCTCCTACAATATACCCAGCCAGCATAGCAACAGCCTCACTTCCAGTTTAAACCAAGAAAATCACCAACTAAAAGAATTTTTCAAGTAGATGAATTTTTCAAGTAGATGAATAAGTAGATGATAAAAATCTTCATGTGAAACTTTTATTAAAATCTTACAGTTTCTTTACCACTTTGGGTCAGTTTAGCCTACCAATGTATGTTAAAGAGAAGGAGTATGCTGGAAAACTTCGGTTCACATTTAAGCATTGAAAAACAAAAGTTGTGTTCCATTCTTGAAGAACTTAAAAGTCACTATATTAAAAAAAATCAAATTTATTCTTTAATTTGCCTTGATGTTGCATTAAAAAACCAGATAATTTGTTTATTGATGTACAATCATAAAAAATTTACCTATTCTTTGGCACAGTGCATCTGATTAAAAACATTTGAAACAACTTACTAAATAAAAAAAGATTTATTTTACCAGAATTTCATTTCTTAGCTTTTAAAGATGAAATTCACTTTCAACAAGGAAAATATCATGAAAAATATTTCATGGTTTATTAGAAAAAGTTTATTTAAAAAAAGCACCGAAAATAAATAGCAAAGTTGTCCATCCTGGAAACTACAAGCAAAATGTCACTGTTGCTTTAGGTATCTTCCATGAAACAACAGCAACAGCAATAAAATCATATTTTCCTGACCGTTTAGATATTGCATCTTTCCTTACTCTTTTAAATAAATGGTGGACAATTGCAAATTTAAAAAATCAGAAATCTAACAACCGTCTTGGGAATTGTCAATGCTAAAAAACCTGAGTTTTTTCGCTGAATGGTTAAATAAATAGAAAAACACCAAAATCCCAAATTTTAATTATCTCCTCAAACATCGTCAGCACTACAAAGGACTTTATTATGTCAAGCTTCATTAATAGAAGATCTATTCAAAGATAATTATAAATTTATATTGACTGCTCATTTTTAAAGTGATCCATTAGAAAGAAGATTTGGGCAATACTATCAAATTAGTGGTGGCAGGTTCCTTGTCAGTTTGAAAGATGTTATCTATAGTGAGAAGATAATCCAAATGAAAAGTTTGATAAAGGAAGGAATTCAGATATTTAAAAATTATATTAATGATGTTAAAGGTACGCAACATGCTAGATCCTTGATGGATCAGATCAAAGAAAGAGATTTTAATCGTGTGACTTGATCAGATAGTTCTCGTGAAGTTTTAAGTTATATTGCTGATTTTATTGCTTAAAAACTGATTAAGAAGTTTAAAATATGTTGCAAATTGATTTGTAGTCAACATTGTCAACAGGAGTCGAATGACTATAGTTATTTAAATAAATTATCCAGAGGGGGCTAACAACTCCATTATTAGCCATTTTAGAATATGTCTGTGATAGTTTTGCTATGTTAGATCATGTATTTGATGTTATTTATTGGTTTCAAATGCAACACTTTGTAGTAAAGAAGGTTATCAACCATTTTTATGTTTAAAAGGAAATTTTTATGTTTAAAGAGAAATTAAACACAATATTATTTCAAATATTTGTTTTAATAACATCAGAAAGAGAGTCAGTGATTCCATTGTTGCAGATAACATTGTTGTCTTTAAAAAAAGACAGAAAAAAAAAAGAATATTTTGTTTCACATTTTTAATCAGTTTGTGTACAATTTTTTTTACTTTTTTTTTATTTTTCATATGAAGTGGTTTGGGTAGAAAATTACATAAGAAATTTTGATTTTCTTTATATGTGTAAGTTTAAATTATATAGAAGCGACAGATGTCTATTCTATATGATAGATCAGCACGCAAAATAAAAAAATTGAAGATAGGCTGTCAATTTGACTGACTAACACATTGAGCTGAAATTCAACTGTTTTTATTAAACAATCAATAAAAAAAAACTTTTCGTTTCAATTTTTGTTTCATAACACTTTTAAATAAAAAAAATACTTTATGCTTTAAAAGTATTACTTTTGATATATTTCTAAATCAAATCATAGCTTCTTTTTTTTACCAAAACCAGCAAAAAGGTTTTATGTTAAATTATTAATATTCCAATTAATAGTTTGAAATAACCTTAGTTTAAAATAGATCACATGCACTGATTAAAAACCGAATTTTAGTTAAAAAAGGAGGAGAATTTTTGAACATTTAACTTGTTGAAGCTTTTTATAAAATATAATTAAATTTTTATAAATTTTTAATTTAAACATTTTTTTTAACTTATTACTTCTTTTACAATGTACTAAGACGTTCTTAACTTTTAAATTTTATTAATAAGTTCGAGCAATCGTTATTTTAAAACCAAGTGTAGCTGTAGAAAATATAAAATTATATCTAGCATAGTAGTTTCATGTAGCAGGGTAGTTTCACGTAGCATGGTAGTTGAATATGGTAAAACTGAATATTTAATTCTTTAAAACACCATTTTATAAAATGTCACAATTAAAATTACTAACACTAATCGTTTTCTTGATAACTTTATAGAAAAAATGCACTAATGATAATTATAGGGTTAATAATGTTCATTCATTCCAATAATTTCACAAATGGTGGCAAAATAATGAAGGTTTTTAAAAAAGATTAAAATAAAAAAAGTTTAATGACAAAAATTGAATGAGAAAAGAAAAATAACAGTTTGGAAATGAAGAATTTTAATTTAGCAGAAAATAATAAAATTAGATGTTTAATCAAGTATATAAAAGGCAAAAGATTTTATAGTGAAGGGAAATATAAGATGTGTAAAAAATGAAAATAAAGCTTACCTTATAAATAATACGTGTCTACGAAGTGAATAAAAGCATTGTTCGTCCTACTAAAACTTAAACATCATAAAGAATAAAAATATTTTTTCAACATTTCGCTTTAAAATATTTTAGATGTTATGAATATTTAGTAATTTCAAAACACATTGCAGTTGTTAGTTTAAACTTATTTTTTGAATTTCAGTTTTTTACCTTGACTGGCAATAATTTATTTTGGGAGGTCAAAACAGCAAATTTTGGGCATTCATTGATTGTTGACTGCCCGTTATTTAGTGCCCTGTGGATACAATAGATAAAATAAGAAAAAAGGGTAGTGCAGCTACATAGAAAATATTTTTTTATGCAAAAACTTAGAAAGGCCATTGAGATGTTGTTCAGTGACTACTTACCAGGCAAGATTTATATGAGAACATACTATTTAGAGTTATATATTTTTTATCATACTTTCGTTTAACTACTTTCGTACTAACCACAAAACATCTTAACTTAATATCAATGCTTATGAGTGGTATTTACTTATTTTATTTATAATACATATTTCAGCCATAAAAGAAACGGTAAGTTACTATTAATTATTAATTACTATTTTCTATTTGCCTTTTTTTATTTCTACACATTATAATTGTTTATTTACACACGCGCATACGTACATGTGTACAAGTCTGTTTCTTCTAATGTAAGGGTACCTTATATTTATATGTGTTTACATATCTGTTAATGGTCACACCACGCGCATTCCTCACCACCCTCACGAGATCTCTAAGAATGTTGGAGCTGTTTTCAAAAACTGGGATAGGGATTGGTTTTTTGGCTTTTGTAGAGTAGTCCTATTATATTGCAATATTGACTAGCATGACGTAGAGTGCAGGCGGTGAGATCTGTTGCAAGGACATGCCCCTGACGAGTGGCGTTAGTGCAGGTCTCGGGCTCTCCGAAATGTCATTGGTGATCGCAGTGCATTCCTGAGGAGGGGGATCACCATTTATCCACTACTTAATTCTAATTGGTTATTATGGCACCAACATTTTTTGTGACCCATGTATTTCTGCGCTTTGTGAGCTTTTTATTATGAATTTGTTACATTAACGACATTTATATATTTTTATGTTACACAGGTGATTATCAGTTTTCAATTTTTTATCTAGAGTTTAGAACATATATAGTACCACATTTATTAGACACTTGTATGGTGCGATTATTTTAGTTATGAATACCATTATAAACCAGCGGATTTTTATTGACTTGTTTACTCATAGATCATTGTTTTATCATTTGCTAAAAGATGACTAGAGTGTGAGTTTTTATTCCTCTTTTCCTGAGTTGCTAACTTTTATTCCTCCTACTAAATAATCTTTACATTAATTTATGTTTTTTTACCTAAATGACATCATCTTCAATCTGTTTTTATTTTCACATCTCCCAGGTCTACGTAACTGGACGGCTCTGTTGGTCACTTTTTGCGATCATTGTGTCGCATATGCAAAAAATTTATTCTTTGTGGCTGGTGAGCCCCGACTTTTTCTAATGTACACCACAACGACAAAACGGACATTAGGCTATCCCGCTGGATGTGGTTACGGCGCTCAATAACCTAATGACTACGCTGACACTAAAGTGTCATAGTGAGTGGTTAACGATCGCAAAAAGTGAAAAAAAGGCCATTGAGATGAGATCAGAGCTGTTTTCTGATTCTCATGCTTATTTATTAAAACTATGTGTTTTGATTAATAAACAATCTTATTTATAAGGTGACATATTTTTTTAAAATATTTACTGTAATTTGTACATAACTTAAAAACATGTATTGAAATATTTTTCTAATTTTTCTATGTATTAATTTCAACAACAACCAATCAAAAGAATTTTAGTGTAGTCATAAATTTATTGTTCTATGAATGAAATTATAAAAAATTCTAATGATGTTGACAGTGAAAAGATTTTTTTGTTCAACCTAAAAATATCAACATGATTGGTATAGATTTGTAATGTTTTAGTATTGCTTTTAGATTCATTTTGGAACACAGCATGCTCGTTGGTATTTAGCGTTTTATGCTTTAGGTATTCCATGTGTAAATGGCATGTCTAACATTATTAAGAAAAAATTTCTGGATGATGTTGGTATGAAGTTGTTTCACATTTTTTAAAATGTTATGCATATAAATTCTTTCTTTTTTTATTTAGATACGTTAACATGTCATAATAATTTTAAGGTTGAATAATATGTTTTTTAATTTTTAGGTGGGTTGAGACCATTTTCAAAGTACATAGCTGAAGACTTTTTTATTGGAATGTCATTTAGTAGCAGGTATTAATTTTTATTAATGTTTAAAATTCTATAAAGACTTGCTATTTATTTTTTTCAAAAATCAATACAAATAAGCCAATAAAAATTGTGTTAATAATTTATCATATTTAAAATTTCTTTTATTATCTTCAAAAACTAATAAAAACATGTTGTATAGTCTAACTATAATAAGTTAGGTATAAATCAAGGTATAACAATTCAATATTACATGTTACATTTTACAGGGAGGGGAAACTGTTTTAAAACATATTAGATAAAAGTACAATTTTATGCAGTAACTAGAAATCAAATAAATAAAAAAATATATATTTTTTAAATTAAGTCTATAAAAAAAATTATTATGAAGTCAAACTGCAGTTTTTTTTATTTTAATTCCTCTTAAATTTATTATCAATAAAAAATGCAATAACAAGAAACATGGGCGTAGTTAATTGAATTTAAAAATGTATTTGTTTAAGCAGCTATAGGCAGGCAGTTTTTGAACCACAAAATCAATACCATAGTGGAGTTTAATGATAAATAACTTTAAGCGGTTGATACAGGTTGATCCGTTGGTTTTAAAAGATATGTTTGAAAGTTTTTTTATTTTTTCACTTAAAATGAAAGACGTTTTCGTAGTTAAAAATATTTATATAAAGGGCAAACAAAATGATTTTTTTATTTTATTTAAATATTAACATAATAATATATAAGTTATTTATATGGAAAAAATAAAAACTTGTAAAAAAAAGAAAGTTTTTGCACTTTTTTTTTCCCGATATTATCTAATATTTTCTAATAAAATAGACTTTCTTAATAATATGTTGAATGATTCTTGCCATTTTTTAAATTTCAAAATTTTTTTGTATAGTTCTTACACACTTTGTAAATTTGCTTAATAAAAGATATGTAAAAATTTTAAAATACAACTTAAATAAATTTTTGCTTTCTTTATTCAGCACCAGGGACTAAAAACTTTAACAAGTTTTTATTTTGTTTTGTTCAGTCAGAACTTGATCTACTGTAATTTTAATTTGTTTTTTTGTTATGAATTGTACATAATGGCAAATGAATTGCCGACAGGCATGAAACTCAGAGTTTCATCAAAAGTTGTTTTTATTTCAAAGTGTAAAATGAAAAATTTTGATAACACACTCTATTTTGTAGAATACATTTAAAATGATCTGTGTGTGTGATTTATAAGTTTTTATTTTACATTGTAAAATGAAAAATTTTGATAAGTCATATACATTTTTTACAGACAAATAAAGATTCTTTTGAGTACAGAACCTGCTATGCAAAGTACCACTGGTGTTACTGTAGAAAAATTTATTAACAGAATGACAAGGTAACACTTTATTTAACACACATATACACGCATACAATTTTTTATAGCAGATTTTAGTATAAAAAGATTTTATACTAAAATCTGTTATAAAAAATTGTTTTAGTTAGAAAATAGTTAAAATTTAGTTAAATGAAAACAAGAAAAACATTCAAAGTTCAATTATCTCAGTTATGTTATGTTATCCCAGTTATGTGTTCATGTGGGTTTTCTTCACTGAGGCTCCCACGGCTGCATGTGTTCACTAAAGTAACTGGGATAACATGTTATTGCATAACTCCATTCAATTAATAAGTATATTATAATACTAATTTTAGTAAGTATATAGAAGTTTTATAATGTTGAATATTACTTTTAGATGGCAAAAACTTCGCTTAACCATGCTGGCTTCAAGTTTTTTTGAACCTTTCATAGAATGCTTTTTGTTAGGTTTTTTGGCTTCTATGTCAGTATGGTTTCTTAATATTGCACCATTTTTTTTTGCATTTATTTCACATGTAACAGCTTGGTTTTTATTGGACCAGCTTTTGCTGCTGATAATTGAAAAAGTAAATTATACTATTCATGAAGCTTTGATATAACCCACACTATAATTTTCATGAAGCTTTGATATAACCCATAGACCAGAAAAAAAAAAAGAAAAAAAAAAAAGAAATCAAATAAATATTGAGCAAAGATATTATTTAGAGCAGATAAATCATTTAAAATTTTATTGAAAAACTTATTCTTATTTCATTATCAATTTTATTTAAAAAATTTTCTTATTACAATTATTGTAAATGATGATGTAATATATAAATTTTTTTATCTTTGTGTTAAAAAATGATTAGCATTTGAATTAAAAAATGAGAAGAATGTTTATAATATTAAAAAAAGTATATGCGATACTTTTAAGTCTCACTCAACCTTGCTCAACCCAACTTCTTTGAAAATATAAAAAAAGTTGCATCAAAGCTGTTATTATTTTTTTACAATGTTTTAAAATTATTGACTTTATTGTAAATATTACATAATAATTTTACATTTTTCATTTTATATTAAAAGTTTCAATAAATATTAGCAGTATATAGCATAAATATTAGGTATATTTTTTAAAAACTATTGTTATTAGGTTTTTATTATAAGTTATTATATATAAATATGTAATACTTATTACATGTATTTATATATTTTATATAATATACAATTATGCATAAAAGTTTAATCAAGGCATAAATTTTAATCAATCTTTTCTGTGTTTTTTTTTTAGTTAAAAAAGTTTTGTAAAATAATTACACCTCTGCATTTGTTTGACCAGTTTCAATCACATCTCATGGGCACTTTTAACCAATACCCTTTCAAAATTTGTTTCAAATGCTCAGTTGATAGAATTTAATAGTTTACTGATTGAGGATTGATCCATGACTAAATATTTTTGGTAGAATTAAGGTCTAGTGATCCAGCATACCAATAGCAAAAAAGCAATCAAGCAAAAAAAATTTTTTGTTTTAAACTGTTGTGTAATATTATGTATCGTGTTTGCACGTTTTGCACTATTTTCATTTTTATTGTCGATCCGTGATTGACAAGATGGGTTTTCTTGTTATAATGTACTGTAATGTATTATAATGTACTATAATGTACTGTAAAACCTTATACCTTTTTTTGCTAATAATCTTCTGACAAGTCCTCTGCTTACATTTTAATAAGAAAATTTAATTTAAAAAATTGGTTTGATATTTGAGCTAACTTTTACTGGTTTTGAATGAGCTAACTTTTGTTCAACCTAACTTTCAATTTTTTTTGTGGATGTTAAAAGTAGTTTTTTCTTCTTTTTTGTAAGTAGTTTGTCTTTTTTTTTCTGGCATCTGTTATTTATGATTGTATTTACCAATACATTCATCAAAAAAAAATTTGGTTTAAAATATTATTCTAATGGTTAAATATTGTTATTTATCTATCAGTTAAATTTTAATATGAAAGTAACTAACATTTAAATATAAAAAATAACATTCTCTAATGAAAAATTATTATTTATCTATCAGTTAAATTTTAATATGAAAATAACTAATATTTTAATATGACAATAACATTCTCTAATGAAAAACTTGATTAAACTTTATTGCATGCAATATGTTATTTATTTTTTTCATATATTTTTAACTTTTTAATTTACACAATTTGCATTTTATAATTATAGAAATACTCAAGGCTACCACCGTTTTTTCAGCGCTCTTATGCTTGGTTGCTTCGAGAACTTTATACATATAGAATTTTTTATAATGCTTTATTTGATAGGGAAATACATTGGAATAATACCACCTTTACACTTAAATATGGAGGTATTGCAGTGAGTAGCGAAAAAAATAGTTAATGTATTTTGAATTTTTTTGGGTGTAAAATTCTTTTGAAATATCCAAGTAGTTTGTTACAAAGCTATATTATGTTTGAGGTGAAATTTTTTTGAAAAATATCTTTAATGCGCTAATTGAAGTAGTTTCCTTGTTTTTAGACATAATCGATATTTTTTCCTTTTTTTCACATTTTAAATAGAATTCTATTTATTTTATATTCAATGATGCAAATTTTTTGTAGATGAATTTTTTAAATTGTGATACTGTAATTTGTAAAAATGCTCTATTTATTGAAAATTTTTCTCTTAAGTTTTTTAAGTATCATTTGATGATCTTTAGGCATATGATCTTTAGACAAAAAAAAATTTCATTTTGTATTAGTTTAATCATTTTTAATAAAAATTTACTCACAAATTTTTTTTTTGCTGATTTAGAATTCATAACTTTGATTGTATATATATATATTTTTTACAACTTTTTAATGTATACTTTTTAAGTTTTTGTTTTATTCGTGGACTCAGTGGGATAGGTTCAAATTACATTTACTTTTCAAGTTTTTGTTTTATTTGTTTGTAGATTAAATTATAATTGTGGGATAGATTTAAATTACATTTACTTTTTTTTTGTATAACTTTGATTTTTGGCTGTTTTTGTTTTGTTATTTTGCACATTGTAGTTCTGTTTATTTATATAAAATTAGTTCAAGTTTTTCTATTTATAAAATTTATAAGATTATAACTTATATCGTTTATAAATATAATTATTTATTTCCTCATATCTTGTTTTTTTATTTGTACTTGTACAGAATATTTTCTCATTGATGTTCAAAAATTTTTCACGTTTTCAAATTTTATGCTCAGTTTTAAGTTTGATTTTTGTATACTTTACTAGAATAAATTTTTTTTCTAAATATTTCAAATTTTTTATTTTTTTATATTTTAAAAAAAATATCAAACAACTCCTTACCTGAAATTTCTATTGTAAAAAAATAAATCCATTTCTTATTTTAATAATATTTGTCGTTAGTGTGGTTGCGCAAAGTAATAAAATTTTTTATATTATCAATAATATTTAAGTAAAAAAAGGAGAAAAATGACTATATGAAAATGTCTTTTGCATTACGTTATCCAGTCAGAAGCAAATCAGAAACCTTGAGAAAACACAAGAAAACATCCAAGATAAAAAAGGGAGTAAAACCATGGGATGTATGTAAATTTTTAAATTTTTTATATGCTACTACTACTACTACTACTACTACTACTACTACTACTACTACTACTACTACTACTACTACAGCTACTGCAAAAGTTGGTGTATAAAAGTTGGTGTATATATAATATAAATTCAACAACAATATATATCATATATATGCAAATACTTATATAAATCAATAAGGCTGTAGACACAGCAGATACACTTCCATTCCTAATAAGCATAATTTTTTTATTTTGTCTGATTTTTATTTTTTTAAATGTACATAAAGTATGCTTGTTAAAGGGATCCGCCAAGTGCAAAGTTGTGTTTAATTCATAAAGAAACATTATAAAATAAATTTTGAATCAATTAGAATTTCCAAAATGAATTATTTGTCAAGAAATAAAAAAAAAAAATTCATAGCTGTTTTGTTTCTTAGCCATCTCCTACTCTCCATCTCTTTTCCAATATTTTTACTTAATGCTAGGCTTATGGATTCTTCTCTAGATTTTATTGTAAAAATAACATTAATAAATGTGTGTGTTTACCATATATAGAGGTTTTTTTAAACAATCTAATTTACACACAAACACTATCATAATGGTGATGATTATAAAATGTTCGCGTTGTATTTCAGTTTATGAAGCTTTTCATTCTATGACATCACTGGAAACTTTTGATGAATGTAATCAAACTTTTATTAGGCTTCCCTTAAAAAACTACTTTACAGAATACATTCTTTTGTTTTCACCAACAATCAGCAATTCAAATTTGTTTTTCTTTACACCAAACCTCAAAAATACAGTTTTATTTTTGGTTTTTAGAACTTATTAGTGTAACTTGTTTTTTAACAAATGTGTAGATTTTTAAATTTATTTTCTTTATATTAGATTTGTATAGTACTTTTATAAGTACTATACAAATCTAATATAAAGAAATATATACTTTTATAAAAAACAAAAAATAATGCTTTAAGTAAGAATTTCAAAAAAAAACAAAAAACAATGCTTTAAGTAAGAATTTCAAAAAAAAAACAAAAAACAATGCTTTAAGTAAGAATTTAAAAGAAAAATAAAAAAAAATAATGCTTTAAGTAAGAATTTAAAAAAAAACAACAATGCTTTAAGTAAGAATTTTAAAAGCGCTATGCAATATAAAAGTACTAAAACCTAAAAGACATTAGAAATTGATTAGAAATTGAATGACAACACTTAAAAATTAAAACTTTAAAATATAAAGTATACAAATGTATAGAGTGTATATATTTAAAGGTATAACGATGCTTTTTTTTAAAGTATATAAATTTATAGAGTGTATATATTTAAAGGTATAACAATAATTTTTTTTTCAGTATAAGTATATAAATGTATGGAGTGTATTTATTTAAAGGTATAACAATGTTTACAGAGTGCATTATATTTAAAGTTATAACAATGTTTATTTTTAGGACTCTGTTCAAGATTTAACTAAATTCAAGCCAAGTAGAGAAGATTTAGTAAGTTTTTAATTTAAACTTTTTACTATCATTGTGTTCTGACAAAAGATCTTACAAACAAGTTCATTTATAAAAGATCTTATAACCAAGGTCTGAATATATTTTTATAAATTTATTAATAATGTTTTTTATAAATATATTAATAATATTTTTGTAAATATATGTTAATAAAATAGTAAAAAAAATAAATTAAAGTATAATTAGTTTTATGTGGTAGTGTTGTAGCGGTACTCGCTTTATAAGTGATAAGTTCCCAGGGATCGAACTCGGAACCACTCGTTTATGAAGTTTAACCAGATGTTACTGGCAGTATACATCTGATCTTTATACCCTGTATAGTTGATATTCATTTTTGTTGTTGCAGATATTCATAATTGCTAATAAACAAAGTTTATCTGCAGTCAGACTGGCTCTTAACCCTATTAATCTATGTATTGCAGAAAAGCTTTGTTTACATTCTGAGGATGTTACTGGCAGTATACATCTGATCTTTAGGAGCTCAAAAAGGTTAGGGTTTAAAGTTAGGGACTTTTATTGCAGATTTTAATGGCTTTAGTCAAAGTATTAGGTCTGTCTACAGGTTTAACAATCAACCATTTTCTTTTTCCAAAGTACTAACTCTTGATTGACACATTTTGAGTAAGGAAAATTACTTTTGTACAGTTTGGCTAAATCCTGAATCACAGTTATCGCCTTGTAGCAAATTGTTTAGGGAACTAATCATTAAACATAAGCAACAATGCAATTTCTCATTCAGAGTCATACTTTGATTTTGGAAATGATGATGTTAAATAAAGGTATAATCAAAGTTCACTTATAATGTTTATATGGATTCTCTGCAAGTGCATTATTTCGGCCTACATGCTTAATGGTAATTCTTGAAATATTAGGTTTGCAAATAATTTACTTACCTTATGTGTAGCTTTTTGGTAAATTACATTACCGTTTTCCAATTACAGTTTTCTTTTCAACATTTTCCCGTAAATGGTTCAAATCATTTTCTTGAATGCTACTATATGCATACACAATGCTGTGCGTCCTTGTAAGCATTCTGTAATATATGCTAATCGTTGAAGTAAGCAGTACAAAGTTATAATTATGAATTTAAATTTTGTGAGTGCGTAAGGAATGAGACAACCTCTTTTCTTCCTTGTACATTTACTACACTCTGCACTTAATTGCTCTATATCAAAGTGCAATCCTAAAATATCTCAAATTCCTTGCCATAAATGGTATAGCCAGGTAAAAGTGTTCATATACTGCCTCCCTTTCTAACCAATTTGTTTTGCACTTTCCTCTATCAAATACTCCCTATCAAAATCTTTTTTCTTTGCTCTTTGACATGCTCTCATTTCAGAAAGGTATTGAAGGAAATTGATATACTTTTGATATTCCTCCAAAATGTTAACATGGATTGATATTCATCAAGCTTTGATCATTTACCAGTTAATTTATCAAATTCAAAAAGTCAAGAAATGTTTATCCAATTCCTCATTCTGCGTTTATGTATCTCATACACACTGAGAGAATTTGTTGGTTTGCACTTGATACCTGGTCTGCTGAAATTAATTTGCAATTTGCAGCTTGAATTTTATTAACTAGCCACTCTTTTATGCATTAATTAATATGATATCTCAAAATTCATTTTGACTTTTAGAGACAAGTTAGCTGACATTTTTGCCTAATGGTGTTTGTATTTGTTCTTTAAATGCAATGTTATGGTGAGCTATGCAAAAGTATTTTTAATGTTGTTATTCATTTATTTAACAAAGACACAATACCATCAAGTAATCTAGTTCCCAGTTTATCAGATTCTACCAATTATTTGAGGGAAAAAATCAGTGGGTTTGAAACAAGATTAAAAAAAGCGGTACCTCACTTACATGATATTGATGGTATTATTTTTCATCATGTACACATTGTTGTCAAAAAATTTACTTCTTTTTCCAGCAAGTTAGTTGAAAATTTACTGGACAATATCTTCATGATTTTAAGTTTAGCCCAGATCTTTTACATTTCAGAAAAAATTTAAATCACAAATGTCACATACAACACTCCAAAGCTAAAGTTTTCTTATCGGTGGTTGTTTGTTTTTAGATTTTACTCTTCCTATGCTTGAGATGATGCTGGCGCTCAACTTAATTTATCGCCACATGTTAGATTTAAGGACTTTCTTTTATGTTGATGTTCCAGAGAAAATTTTAAAGAAATGGTACTGTTCATGAGAAAAGTGGCCCTTGATTGGGAGCCTGTTAGTCAAAAATGTGACGTTTATTGTCTAGTCGCAGGCTGTGACTAGATAATCATCTAGATTTTATAACAAAGATTCAAAGTTGTTCAGTAGTTATTTTTAACCTTTTACTGTCTAAAATTTGCCCTAATTTATTTATTACATACTTTTACCTATTTTTTTAACACAAATATTTTAGGGATTTTCAGTGATTTTTATAAAAATAATTTTTTATAAAAATTAATTGCATGAGATTCACATTACTGACTGATTTTCTATTCTTGTTAGGTATTTTAAGTTTATTTTTTTTCCTCTTGCACTTTCCTTTTTTAAAATCTTATATTAAATTATTTATGTGAAAAAGCGAGTTACTTTTCTTCTTTCACAAAGAATTTTAAAATGTTTTGCAATGAAGGATAGAATTTCACACTTAACTTTGAATCAATCAAAGTTTTCAAATGTTTTTATTTTGACAATTAATTTTAAACATTAAATAATTTTTGTTGATAATTCTTTCTTTTTTGTTGTTAAATTTTGTTGTTGATTGCACCCAACAACTTTCCTTCTCCCCACGGTACAAGCATGTTACATTTTAGGAGTTTTTTTTTTTTTTTGTAATTTATTTTACTTCTATATTTTACTTTATTTGTCTTATTATGTCTATATATTTATATGATTTTTTATATTTATGTCTCTATATTTATATGATTTCTTATATTTATGTCTATATATTTATATGATTTATCCGGTAGTGGTCTATTTATATGATTTCTATGTCTATATATTTATATGATTTCTATGATTTATCCGGTATTGGTGTAGTGGTAGGAATGCTTGCCTCATAAGCGAGAAGTTCCAAGTTCGATCCCCACCATGTCCCTGGTAGTACCGCGCTCAACTTAGTTCTTCAAACAGCGGCCTTGTTTGTCAAGGTTAGTGTTATGGAGTTATAGAGTTAAGAAAGAGTTGTAACCACAACTAAAGTAGCTCGACTGTAGTGGCCTTCATGGCCTTGGGGAGGTGAATTCAAATAAAAGAAATGTATATATTGTTGTATTTAATGTTATTTTGTTCTAATGGATAGATTGTTAAACTATTTTACAAATAGTTAATTACTGTATTTAAATAAATTTTTAATTTTAGGAGCGCAATCATCAACTTCATTTACCTAAGAAAGATCATGAACGATTGTTTCACAATACCCATCCAATAAGTTCTTTTCTCCAAGATGAAAAAGGTTATAATTATGTTTATATTTTGTAAATTTTTCAATTGTTCTTAGTTTAAATGTTATTAATTGTTATTTAAATTTATTGTTCTAAAATATTAATGTTGTTTTTCATTTTCATATTTTCAATTTCAAATGTTTTTAAATGTTTTAATTGAGTGATATTTAAAAGTCAGTTAACATTATACTATTTCATGTTTTAAAAATGTATTAGTTTTTTTAAAGTTAAAATATCTTTAAACAACTTTACAAACACACAAAAATGATATAACTTTTATTTTAAGTTTATTTAAAATTAAGTTATGCTTTTGTTTATAGAAGCTATAAATTAAAAATCTTTTTGAAAGATTTAATAGTTACCCCCTAACACTTTCTTATCTTACTTAGGTTGATGGTAACCATAGTAACACTTTGTAATATTACCTTGGCATCAACATAAAATGCTTTTTTTTTAAAACATCTACTAATACTTTTTTGTTTTGTCTTTTGATTTTGTTTGTGTTTTGTAATTTTTTATTGTGTCAATAGTAAATAATTTTATTTCAGAAAATCATAACATCTTCCAAGATGCTCCTAAAATATTAGAAAAAAAGCGTGCCTTAATCAAAGAAAGGTTTTATAATCAAGAAAAAGTAAATTTTTTTTTGTAGTTATTTTACATCGTATAAGTTAAATAATTGTTTATGTATAAATTGTCCAGAATATAGTGTGTATTTTTCAAGTTGTGTGAAGTGAGTTTTTTTTCCCATTATGCTAACAATGTTTAAAAATAACTTTTACAGGTTTGATAAGTGATCCCGTGTCTCCCTGAATGTGTTCACATTTTGCAGTATAATTTGACTGGGTTAGTAAATTGTTTTTGAAGAATGGTATTGCTGACAATCAGACAGTTAGGTGAATAAATTAAAAGAAGTAATTATATAAATTAAAGTTGATATTTAAAAGTAAAATTTTAAATTTGGTTATTATTTTGAAATGCTGGCTTGAAACATTTAAGGCTATGAGTGGCCACAGAACTGGGAACAGTACTGAAAATGAAGAGTCTGAAGAACAAAAAGAAAATCCTTTTTATTAGGAAAACATAAAATTTTAATACCCCAAGATCACAGAAAACAACCTAAAAAGATCTGTGACATGAAAGTTAGCTCATTTCTGGTTAATTGGTCATCCATCAGCATCAATTAAAATCAAAGTGTCTAACTTTAGGCAAATAATAAAATGTCATTAAATAAATATTATATTTAAAAAAATAATCATTAAAAATAAATTGAAGAAAGAAGGTCATTGAAGCTGATGTTGTTGTGTTTTGGAATGTGACACACATAAAAACTATATACAAACAGAATAGGATGTTTGATATCATTAAAATATTGATGGAACAGTAGAATTTAATAAAAAATAAACAACTGACCCTAGTAACTAGTAAATTTTATTAATCAGTTTCTCTTCAATATTAGTGTGTCTGGTTTTATAGATAAAATAAATAAATCAAGATGTTTGTTGGAAAGAAAAAAAAGATGATATCAATTTTTATTTGGATTAGCAACAAGAAGAAAGCAACTTTGGTTTCAAAAATCATATCTATTCAGGCAAGATAAATATTTTTTGAAAGCACAACCAAAATGAAAGTTGTAAGACAAGCATGGGAAGCATGTTAGAAATGTATACAACTGTTAGAACTGAGAATAACCTGTAGAAATCTGCTTTGTTGGAATATGATGTTGTTAGATAATCTAATGAAAGTGATGACCAAATCAAAAATGCTCCAAGTTTCATAATAAATAAACAACACGAAGAAACAGAAACAAGTCGAGACAAATATATAACTGTTAAGATTTCTAAAAAAGTAATGCAATGTGAGATAGACTAATGATAGTGATTGTTACAAACTTTCAAATAACAATGATTATCTCAGCATTAAGTTGCTGGAGGTAAGCTTTAAGGTGTTGACACATGAAGATTTATGATTTGTTGAAAAACAAAGGAGCAACTCAGGCTGATGAAGATATTGCTTTGTTAACAGTTTAGAATTTTTCAGATATTTTTGTTAGTCCACTGATTGACACATCAGTCAGCAATAACAGCATTCTTCAAAGAACTGCATAGTTAATATAATTTGTTATAATCTGTGCAGAGTAGTCAGATCAGGATTAGGATCATTAATGATCACACTGATACTGGTAGCATGCATCAGCAAAATCTCGTATTCTGCTGCCTTGTAAGATTGACTAGGCAAAGGCTATGAGAAGTTAACTCTTTAAAATACCCCCTTCCTTTTTGACTCTTGTTGTAGAAAGACTTGAGTTTGTGTTAACAAAAATACTTAGGCTGCTTTTAATTGCATAATTCTATTGTCTTGTAAAAGACCTCTTAGGTAAAAACATTAGTGGTAAGCATAAACCTTTAATAAAGCAGCCTTGTATCGCTTCTTTATCAAATAAGTTGTTTATTAAGTTGGCTGTAAACCTTGGTTATGTTATTTCTTGCCTAGTATGATGAGCGCTGGATCTTTTTGACTCTACTCACAGTTTTTGGTTTCTTTGTTAATGATTATTCAACTCTTTCTGTTATCTTTGAACTTTATCTTTAACAGCTCTAAAACTCAGTTTAATGGTTCTGAGGCTGGCTGGTAGTAATGATTATGGTAGATTTCAAAGAGGCTGGTTCTATTAACAGCTGTAAAATATCAAGGTATTAACAGTGACTTATTGTGCATGGAATATGTTACTGTAAGTACTTTTAGTGTGCATTGAGGCCATTTGTTACAACTTCGAAATTAGAAAGATCATTTTTGCTAATGCAACAAAACTTGTCATGAATTATCTTTGAGTCAAGTTAACTACTAAAAACCTTAAAGTATTAATAATATAATATAAATATCCTAAATGAACAGGTTAATCATTTGGTTAATTCTTTTTTATTTCATTCAAATCACTCCAGCTTTAATTGCTAAACTTATATTCCAACTCTCCAGGCTACATTCTTGTCACAGTCATACAAAAGTAGTTTAAAAAACTCATTAACTAAATTATGTAACACTTATATAAAAACAAGTACTTAAATCTTGTTTTCCTACCTGAAAAATGGTATCTGTGGTTCCAATTTAAAAAAACTCTGAAGAACACTCTGACCTCTTTAACTAATGGCCAATTGCAATTGTAATCTAATTTACTAATGGGCTATCTTCTTACTCTTATTATTAATGCTTTTAATCTTTAATAATAATTAGTAAACTTTTTCTTGTCATACAAAATTATTTTTGAAAAATTTAATTTTTTTTAAAATTATTTATTATTATGAACAACTTTTTAAATCTTATCTTAGCCTGAGTCTTACTCTCTGACAGAACTACAGAACTTTTAAATTATCATTTCTTTCTAACTGCAGTATTCAAGTTATCTTCAAAGGCCAGCACTCTTATTTATTTCCAGTTTCAAAAATTTCAAAATAAATATTCTTGAGATGAATGGTGTTCTATTAGTTATAACAGAAAAGTAAAAAAGGATTTTTGTATTTAGATGAGTTCTTGAGGTTCTTCTCAAATAATTTTTTTTTTTTTTATGTCAGCGAGGTACTCAAAAGATGTAGAACTATATTCTGATTTTAAAAATAATATTTGTTTTTATTCCAAACTAAAACTATAAAAAATATTTATTTTTTTATGTTAAAAACTCCGGTTTACAACAATTTTTTTCAACTTGAAAGATTTAAAAAAATTAAATTATTATTTTCAAAACAAGCATTTTATTCTGCATCTTTTTAGTAGCAGGTTGATATAGTTGAGAAAAGAAAAAAATTTCTTACATAAGGGTTCCTCAAAAATCTTGATTCCTTGAGGAACCTCAAGAGCTCAAAAAAAAAGAAGTTTTTCTACTCAAAGACAACAATTCAATACACAGGCAAACTTCTAAAAATTTTCAAATCCCTTCACCCTAGTATACAGTTCATTGCAAAGTTTGTCAATCTTTTGTCTCAAGCTTATATCACGCTTGCCATTTTCTTACTCCTGATTACATAAACTACTTCTATAAGTCTCAGAATACTGTTGCTATATTTAACTGGTTTTTTTTTAATTGGCCCTCTCTCTTTTAGACAAGGTTTAAAAAACAATATTGAAATATTTGTAAATATTATTGTACCTGCTCTTGCTGTTAAGTTTGAACCTCTGCCCAATTGTTGTAAGATTACATCTCTTTCTCTTTTAAATACTACTGTAGTCACTGCTAAAGTGAACTATAATGGTTTCCTCAACCTAAACTCTTGTGTAACTTGTCATTTATAACATTATTAATTTATTAACATTGTCAATTAAGTTATTTTGCTGTAACTATTCTTTTATGCTCAAAAAACTTTTATTTGTTTTTTAAACATCTTTGTCTCATTCATCTTTATTACTCATCTTTATTCATCTTTATCATCGTTTTATTATTACTTCATCAGTTTTTTCTTTGTTTTCTGTTAACTCCCATTTTAATTGTTGCTTATACCCTTGATGTGAGTGAATTTAGTTGTTGCTTACACCCTTAATGGGAATGAACTAGTTAATTCAAGAAAAAAATTTAAAAATAACTGGAAAATGAAAATGTTATTTAGTCAAAAAACAACTAGTTGTAGCAGAACTAGAGACATGAAAAACAGTTTGTAAAGAATCATTAAAATTTTCAAGAGATTATCTGAAACCTGCTGACTATAATTACCTTGTGATTAACAATCTCCATAATTATCAATTGTACTTGTTTTTGATGACACAGGTATTAAAAAAAATATCTACTGCTTTTGGCTCCAATAATGAAAACATTCGCATTATTGAATAAATCTTCAAAAAATTTGTTGTAATACAGTTTTAACAAGTTTAATTGGTCCCCAATTTTTTTGTTGCTACAAGGTGTTGAGCAGCATATATATTACTGAATATAGTATGCCATGTCAAAACTATATAAATTAAATTTACATAAATAGACAACATTTTAATATGTAATATTTTTTTTTTTACTGAAAAGTGTGGTTCAAAATCAAGGTTTTTGAAGACCTCAGAATCAATTATCATGATTCTAAAAAAATCATTTTTAAACTTTACATAACTTTGATACTGCTTACTATATTCAGGGCAACTCTAAAGTAGTTTTATTTCTTATTTTACTATTTTAAAAAATGAACAAAATCTTTAGTTTTTATAAAATGCTACCCTTTTAAATATATATATTTTTTCACTATTAATTTTAGTTTTCTGACATAAAGCTAAAATTTTTCAAATGGACCATAAACTTAATATAAAAGATTGATATTTTTTTAACCAAAACAATTATAAAATTGATTTTCCTTAGTACAAAATATGTGTTTGTTTTTTCATTCTCTCAAAAAAATTACAATTTATTTTATAAATTAAAAATGCTAGTTTTATGAAAAGTATAAAAAAAATTTAATTTTATAAAAAGTGTAATAAAATTTCATATTAAGTTTGACAAGGTTTTAGAGAGAGATAGTTAATGAAGTTAAAACAAAAGTTTGCAACATTTTTGAGAACATGACATTAACAACCTTATGTTATGTATTGATTACAGTGATATTTTAGTTTTTTTTTTTAATTTTTAAGTTATTAGGTTATTTATTCAAATTAATTATGAATATATTATTATTTATAATTAATTATCTTTATGCTTAAGTAATATTAAATGATTAAAGTATTTAATAAGTTTAAGCTTTTTTATCCTATAAGTTTAGTATAATAGATCTTACACTAATATCATCTTATACTAATCTCCTAGTAGGGTGTTATGTTGATATCCTAATAGGTTGGTCCATTTTATACTAATATCATCTAATACTAATATTCTAATAGGGTGGTCCTTCTTGTAGTAATATGCTGATAGGGTGGCCTATCTTATACTTATATTCTGGTAGGGTATCCCATTTTATACTAATATTCTGAAAAAAAGATACTAACAAAGCTGAAAGATGTGATACTAACAAAGCTTAGTAACAACGCTCTGTTAAAGTATCTGAATTGAAAAAATAAGACTTTCTTTAAATATTTTTGTGTGCAAGTATTGCATAAGATTTTTTTATTCTTTCAATCATTTTTTATCAATTCTATTTTATTTTTGGTCTTTCTTAACAGGAGTTAAGAGAAGTGCTTTCAGAGACTGATCGTACAATGGCTAATGTTCAAGATATGTTTGGTGATGATGTTCAAGTATTTGTTATTATTGTTGATTAGTTTCTTTTGTTTACTTTTTCATTTGTTGATTTATTTGTAAAAATTTTATTTTTTTATTAAATATATTTTAATAACAAATAGGGAGAGAAATTTCTATTAATTTAAAAAAAGATATTTGATATTAGCCAAAACAAGATGTATAGGTAGGTAAAGTAAATTTTGAATATATATATATATATATATATATATATATATATATATATATATATATATATATATATATATATATATATATATATATATATATATATATATATATATATATATATATATATATATATATATATATAAATATATATATAAATATTTATATGGCGTTTAGAGGTATAGAGTCTTTCCACACGTTACTAGAGCGCCAACAAAGAAGCAGAACACTGAGAGGTATTTTTGCATAATTGGGTACTATAATAATGCCTTATATGGCAAATTCTAATTTTACTTTTAGTTTAATTTTTTTTTTTTAATTTTTTTTTTTTTTTTTTTTGTTTTAGTTTCTTGACATCTTATGATAAATCATCTAACAATGAAGGGACAGTAAATATGGAGCTAAATGCTGTTTCAGATGAAGGTTTAAATTTTATTTAATGTGCCTTTTAAAATTTTTTTTTTTTTTTAATATCAGATTATTGAAAATTGTACACCATCATTTATTACACTATTATGAATTATGATTTAAGAAAGTAATTCTAGTACTCAAAGCGCAAAACATTCATTTACATCAGAAATCAATCTTGATCGTTA